TTCTTAATTTTGGAATAGACTCATATCTCCACAAATAGCAAAATTATTAGGTATGTGGGTTGCTGGCTCAGCTGATAAAGAGCTTGTGGATAGAAATTTTTGTCCTGCCCAGTCCTACCATCATTCAGTACCAGATAAATATACAGAGGCTTATATTAAATATAAAATGTTTTGCTCATGGCTCAGACTTCTTATTGGCTAGCTCTCTCTTAATTGTTAAGCCATTTCTATTAATCTGTGTATCTCCACATGGACTTGGATTACTGATGATGCCCCAGTCTCTTGCTTTCTCCACAGCTATATGGCACCTCTCTCTTGACTCATTCTGGTAGCCCTGCCTATACTTCTTTCCTGGCTACATCATGCCTGTCCATTGACTAAAACAGCTTTATTCATCAACTAATAAGAGAAACATATATTCACAGCATACATAGGGACATCCCCCATCAGAGCTTGCAATACAAGAATTAAGATCTGCTTTAGGATCCTATGTTTCTAAGCACTCGCATGAAAAGCTGGGCATGCCTATAATACCAGCACTACTGGGGAGATAGAGACTTGGAAGATCTCCAGAGCTCCTTGGACAACCAGTCAAGCAAAATTGTCAAGTTCCAATGAGAGACCTAGCCTCAAAGAATAAAGTAGAGACTATCAAGGAAGAAACATGGTATCTATCTCTTGCCTATACAAACACACACACACACACACACACACACAAATCATGTGCACATACAACTACAAACAAAGAAACACATATAAGAAATTGTGACTCAAATGGTGGTGGTGCACTCCTTTAATTCCATCACTCAGGATGCAGAAGTAAGCAGATCTCTGTGAGGTTGAGGCCAGCTTGGTCTACAGAAAGATTTCCAGGACAGCTAGAGATGTTACACAGAGAAACGCTTGAAAAACAAACAGTAAACAAACAAAATACCAAACCAAACAAACAAAAATAAAAAACAAGAAAGTGAAATTTCAGTTGTCCTGTAAATTAAAGTGGTAGATATAGAGTTGTTTCATTAAATAACTATAGAAATTAAGGTATTGATTCCATGTATGGACAATGTAGTAATTTCTTAGTCTACTTCAAATCTAGAGTACAGCAGGGTGTATGCTGTCTTAGAATAAGACAAAAAATTCTGGGGGCTAGTGGGGGTTAAAGTAGTCTATAAAATGTTACAGTTGTTTTGCTTTGTTCTTTGTCAAGATATTTATATCATACTGAAATTTACATAGAATTAAAGAAGGTTTAATGTATTAATTTGAGATATAGATTTAAAAATTTTAAAAGCATTGATATAATAAACCATGTTAAATAGCTCAGAAGATTGCTTAGAGCCAGTCCTATAAGAGAACAGTTGTCTCTAATCTATCTCAGAGGAAACAAAATGGGGTCCTTGGGGTTCTTTTGGTGACAGAAAGGGAATTCAGGGTTTGTTGTCAGTCACAAATATACGGAACAGGATAATATACATTTTGGTAAGAAATGAAGACTTGTGCCACAATGACAAAAGAATCTTATGTTTTTGAGGACTCAATGAGATTCCTTTGTATCTCTTTACATATTATTAACACATTCTCTGAACATAATAGGATCAAAGAAAAATTTTTTCTTACATTATTTTCTAGTACTTATAGGTCAAACGAAGTGATAATTAGTTCTGTCTCTTTTCCTTTACATTCTGAATTTATATACAATTAAGAAAAATGGCCAATATGAGTTAAAAAGATAGATACAAAATTATTGATATTTTACTGATAAAGTTAAAGGACAGAAACTAGGCCCGTATAAAAGAATTGGCATCCCTCAGTCTGAACTTACAGAGTTTGGATCTAGGGAGCAGATAGCATAGACCTAGACATTAAGCCGTCTTGACTTGGTTGTCACTGGAAAATTAAGAATTAAAGGAAAATAGTTTACTTATTAAAAAAAAAACAGAAGAGGAGACATAGAGCAGCATGAAGACAAATCAGTTACATGAGACACAGTGAGATGCTGTGTCTTGGTTTCTCAAGGAAATTCTAGAAAGGATGTAAGATACATGCTTTATCATTATCCCTCCCAAGAGTCAATGAAGATGGAGTATTTAATGGTGGGGGAAATTCTCCAAGGGAGAATTAATTCTGAGGTTTTATTGTGAGTACCTAAGGAGAGGAATGCCAGTGGTTTAGACAAAAATACCTTAAGCTAAGAGGCGAAATAATGGTTACTAAAGTCAACCACAGGAAACAATGAAAAAGATGTGTTCAGAGACTGATGTCTACTACAGGACCACAGACTGTTAAGGAGGGAATATTCTCCAGTCCAGCAGTGGCCTCTGAGCTGGACCCGTTGCTTGCAGTATGGAGCATAACAAGCATGAAGTCTTTAAACTTCTTAACAGATGTGTTACAAAAGGAGAAAAGAAAGGGGAGTCAGATAAATGATTTGAGAGTCATTTCTTGGGCAGTATAGAAGGATAGGGTTAGTAACAGAAGGGACCTTCCCAGAGGAGTCCCTTTAGAAGAGGGAAGTAAGTTTTGTTCTGGGAAGGATCCATGTAAGAACATGAGGGGAGGAAACAATTGTTCATGGTTACAATTGGAATATGAGATTTAGAATTATTCATTAAATGTAGTAATGATTTTCGACATGGATATTAATGAACAAAGTACCCAAACAACAAAAGTTTTTATGTTTTAGAAAGTTTTCATGATGAGCAGACCCTATGGTTTCTGTACACAGTTGGTCTTTTTATGTGACTAGTCTGTTTCTGACTAGTCTTTTCCAATCTCTTTCCCTATAAGGTCTTCTAGGAATCAAGTTTTTGTCATCATGTCCCAGAGTAAAACAGAGAAGGAAATGGGATGGTCAGTTTGATAGTAGGATGTTTTGTGCTGGTGTTGAGAATAAGCAGGGGTGGTTTGTTAGAGGTAGCAAAGAAATTAATAGAAACTACAGTAAGCAGAAAGGAGAACAGATAACGTTCCTTTTCTTATATGATATATTTGTCAATCCTGTTGAAATAACTCACATCTGTATGTCAATATTAATATTATTAATTATTAATATGAGCTCAAAACATCCTTCTTCATAGTAAGTCATTTGGCAGTATATGGGTATGTTCCACTTTTCTCTATCTCCCAAACATTTTTAGACTGTTTAATATTAACAATTGATTTAAAATTAGAAATTTAATAACAGGGTTATTTTGACACAAAAAACCTTTGCCGCTTATCCTCTAATTGCTTATCTTTAATAGAATTTACAATTTTTCTATACTAATGTAAAATTTATTTGTGTTTCCCAAAAGAATATTTGTAACAAATTTTAGCATTTAGAAATGTTTCTTAACTAATAGAACAGGCAGGAGTAGGGAATATGTTTATTATTTTTCTGGACAGACAATAATAAAGAGATTTATTTCAAGTGGGATAGTGGTGGTACACGCCTTTAATCCCAGCATTTGGGAGTCAGAGGCAGTCGGATTTCAGTGAGTTCAAGGCCAGCCTGGTGTACAAAGTGAGTTCCAGGGTGTCTAGGACTGTTACGCAGAGAAACCCTGTCTTGAAAAACCAGAGAGAGAGAGAGAGAGAGAGAGAGAGAGAGAAAGAGAGAGAGAGAGAGAGAGAGAGAGAGAGAGAGAGGGAGAGAGAGAGAGAGAGAGTTATTTTATAAACCAGTCTCTTTACTCAATCTCCAATTCCATAAAAATTTATCTACATCTACTACTTAAAAGAAACTTTGATGGTAAAGATAGTAGTTTTAGTGTTTATTTTTAAACAATTAACCTGGAATTTCTAAACAGTGAAAGATTAGAGTTGAGTTTTTAATGTTTTCCAGTTGAAATGGAATCAAACTAGCAATAACCTTAACATATTCACCTAAAGAGAGTGAGAGTAGTCAGTTTCTCCGCTCCTAATCCTCAGCTCAGACACAGGAATTGGCACCAACTTTTATGAGTTTTGAGTTGTAGGAACACTGCAGTTTGTTATATTGTTCTCTGCAACACTCTGTACTGCTTTGTACATTGTATTCCTCTCCCCACCCTGGAAAAAAGTAAACAGCTCTGCCCCAAATCCTTAGAATTTCTGGGTGAATAGAAGGTTGAATTTGATTGTGCCCACTTTGCTGAGTGATACTGTAGTCTGTGTGATAGGCATAGAAGATGGAAAAGGGTGAATTTAATGCTGGTTCGATTAGAAGGCAGAAATAAGCCACTCATTAGAGCATGAAATTAGGATACTTTCTTTCCAGGAAAATATTTCAAAGGAATGGACTATCTGTATAGAAAAGGCATGAATGTCATTCTGTACATGTGACTTTCCCCACAAAAAATATGCTTCCATCTAGATTTTGGTGTTCGTCCTTTTTTGTTGTTTTTGTTTGTTTGTTTGTTTGTTTGTTTTTTGACAGGGTTTCTCTGTGTAGTCCTGACTATGTTGAAATTCACTTTATGGAGCAGGCTGGCCTTGAAGTCACAGAAATCCTCCTGCCTCTGTTTCCTGAGTTCTGGAATTAAAGGTATATGCTACCACTGTTCAGTTGGTGTTTATTCTTGTAATAGGCTGTTTCTAAAAATGTGTATTGGCCATGCACCTGGCTTATATTTTACTATGAGCATGGTAAGTGGGAGTCACTTCCCAAGAAAGAAAGGGACTTGAATTTTCCTTAATATCTAAGATGCCTTAATGTTACTTTTGAGGATGGAGAGTGGCGTTGGTTTTGGCTGTGTGCAACAGCATTAAACTCCTCCCCATGTATTTTCTAAGGTTTACTCATTATAATTGTTAATTGTACTTTTAAAATTCGCTTTTAACAGCAGCAAGTGAGACTGGTTCTAAGAATCAGCAGCAGGCTTGTGAGCTGGGCGAGGAGGAAGAGGGTCTCTGGGGTTGGGCTGGCCTGGCTAGGGTTGGTGGAGGGGAGTGCTCTGGAGGGGTGGCTCACACTGCAGTGACAGTCCCTCCCAGGGCTGGTTGAGGCACCTCACTGGTGACGGGTCTGAAAGCACGTGGCTACGTCATGGAAAGCCAGTCTTTTCAATGCAAACTTCAACTCCTCCTCCTCCCTCTAATGCCTGTAACTCACAGCCAAGGCTGGGCGAGGAATACGGAGGAGAGATTTTCCTCATGCTCACGGTGCCTGGAGACTGGAAGGAAGAGTGTAAGGAAGGAGGAAGGAAATTTGTGGCGCTTTCTACCTACTACGAGACTGACAAGGGGAGGGGGAGCCTACGTTACATCTTCTCTTCGTGATTAAGAACTGCAGTTTCAGTCCGATCCCACGGAGCTCTGGTGATTGCTTATCAAAAAAAAAAAAAATTGACCGCGGGAGAAGGAAGGCTCACTCAGTCTTTGGCGGCCAGACACATCTCGGAGGTGGTATTGGTGTATGAGTGTGTGTGGTGGTGTTTTTTTTTTTTCCTTCTTTCTTTTTTCCTTTCTTCCTTTTTTTTTTTTCCTTTTCCCCCGTTTTTTCCCTTCTCTCCTAGGGGCTACACAATGGCAGTCTTCTCTCGCTAAAATGAATCCGGCTTGCCTTCTGCAGATCCGCCCATCCTCAGTTCCATTGAGTAAAAGGCTATGATTTTCTCTTTGGGGATCTTTTGTGTATTACTGTTCTTCCTGATTAGTTCTGATCTCGGTTGGGATTTCTTTGCTTTTTTTGGTTTGGCTTCATGTGAAAAAGGATTTTTTTCTCTCCAATCCTTTGGTCATGATCCAGTGCTGATCAAGAGGGGATAAATCATTCACCCTGGCCGAGAAAAAACAATCGCTGAGAAGTCTCAAAGAGATATACCACGTGAGGGGAAAAAACTGGGAGAAGATCTGGAATATTAACGTTTTTCCTATGGTAAAACCGGTGCCCCTCTTCAGGAGAACTGATTTCAAGTTATTATTATGCAACCACAAGGGCCTCTTCTTTCTCAGGGTGTCTAAGCTGCTGGGTTGCTTTTCGCCCAAATCAATGTGGTTTCTTTGGAACATTTTCAGCAAAGGAACGCATATGCTGCAGTGTCTTTGTGGCAAGAGTCTTAAGAAAAACAAGAACACAACTGGTAAGCAAAGCATGCATCATATTCTGGTTTTCCTCGTAATACCCTGTCTGTTGCTCACGGAGCTAGGTCTGCAGTTTTGCTATGCAGGAGGCCAGGGAACATGCAAGGAACCCGGACAGTGTTGCATACAGAGGTGTTGCATGAATAAACAAGTAGCTACCGCCGATTTGCGTCCTCCCAACCCCAAAACCCTGATCAACAGCTCTTAGCTGTGACACAATCCATCACTAGGAGGGAGGAGTAAACTTTTTTTTTAAACCCCACTAAATGGATTTGGTCTCCCGTGTTTAGTGGAATATTGAAGGGCTATGGCTTATGGCTGTGCCAGGAGAAAGAGTGGGGAGAGCTTGCCTTACTTCTGCTGCTCTGGGGACATAGCGTTAGACTTTCTGATTAGCTTGCACAATATTCGTCACCCCATCACCTTTAGCAAAGTAAAAGCTCCCCCTCCTTCATGGCCCGGCTCCTTCGTCAGCCCCCGCCTCCCTCCCCCGTCTAGCTCTGGGTGCTATTAACTCATTCCCTAGTCTGCCTCTGACACATCCAGCCTGCAAACAGTGAACACTGGAGCAGGGCTTGTGCCTGGGGGAACCAGGATCTAGAGGACGAGCCCAGTCCCTCTAATATATGCCAATTAAGTCCCTTTCCCTTTCACAAACGGGCGTGGAAACCCTGTGTGTGGGTCCCAGGGTGACCAGCGGGTCCCTGCCTTTCGCCTTCTGGCGATCACACACTAGGATTTCAAAGGGCTCCAACCAGGGAACTTGCAGTATATTACATAAGAAATGCAAATGCAGGTGATTTGGGGAGCCGGCCCCAGGGGTTTACTTCCCTGTGTCTAGTCTAAGGCTTTTGGGAGCAGGGGAGTCGTGGGCGAGCAGCCCTCAGGCAGACATGCTGGAGGGCTGCCTGGCGGTGGCAGCTGCGGCAAAGGAGGCTGGGTGCAGTCTTTCCTCAAATCATTCCTGCTGTCAGCCAGGAGTGTGCGGCATCTCCTGTTTGGGATAGGGAGGGGCCTGGGGCAATTTGTTTTTTGTGTTTTTTTCGGTCTGTAGTTGTGCTGGAGAGGCGGGGGATCGTTTGTCCTGCAGCAGCAGCAGAGCGATTAAGGCTGCTTGAAGCTGGCACTGCGGTGTACTAGATCATGGCTCTCCCGCGACCGCCCTGACACCTGGGGCTCAGAGCCGGCCACACTGGCACCCAGAACTCCCCCGGCTGGGCAGCAAGTGGCTGTTTGCTCCCAGCCTCTGAACCCAGCAAATATAGCATCACTGGGATGATGCGAGCAGAGGGGGTTGAGGCCTTGAGGCTTTAGGGAGAACAGAGGAGCGTGGGTGGGCGGAGTTGGAGGCAGTGGGTGTGGAGGTCTAGGAAGCTTTGCAGACACCACTTCTGTTACAAAAGGCAAGGTGCTTGTGAGTTAAGAGTGTCCAAAAGGGCAAATGCTCCTGTGCTCAGGCCAAGGGAAGTTACTCCTAGCTGGGGAGGGGACTTATGGAAGTTCTGAGAAGATACAGCTATTGACTTCTAGGAGGGTTACCTGCTCCAATAAAGTTGTTGCCTCTGTCCTACAGACCTGGTCCTTGAATTCTAGATCCACACCTTGCCTAATGAACCACCTTCACCGTTTCCTGTCCTTTTACCCTTCTGTCCCTTAACTACTCAGCATTTACTGACTCTGGAATGGTGTTCTTATCCTGAGACTTCTCTAAGGGAAGAGCAGACTGGACACCTTACTTTCCTGATTCAGGCCCAGAGTGTACTCCCAGTCCTCGGCACCCAGCCTAACACTACACATGCCTAGTTCAATTACCCACCTACATCCACAGCACTGGTTCATTCCCTGGACATGAATGAGGACTGTCTGGAGGACTTCCCAAAGTGGACAGAAAACCTTTCTTTTTTTGTGACTTGACCATTTGTCCAGGGACCTCGAAGTCAGCCCTTCCCTAATATTGGTGAGTGGGAAATAATTCAGCAGAAAGAAATAGTAAGCTTGTTCTAAGGTCTTTATGTTTTTATTGTAAACAATTTTACTGGAAATGCCTATCCCACCACCACTCAGTTTAAGATCTTTTTGTTACATTTCTCCCACCTACTTTCATCTCTCAAGACTAGTTTTCTCTCTCCAAAGTGTTTTAGAAGGTGTTAAACAAGTAATTATTTATTTTAAGAGCAATTTATTTTGCAGCTTATATGTGCTAATGTACTTGGGTGGTAAGGTGATGGGTTAACCCATGGCATATCTGACAACATACTCAGATGGTCTAATAGGATAGTTAAGTCTTAAATTGCCAGATATTTTTAGCACAAATTGGAAGTCAGAGAAATTAGGAGATATTTTTTTAAATGGAACCTTGATATATCAAACTACGTACCTCAAAGTTAAAAGGCTTTGATCTTTTTAGCTGGACTCAAACCCATGCCTGCCATTTCTTCTGAATATTGTACTTAGTGAGGTCTATTCTCCTGCTAGTAATACAAAGCCTATAATCATTTGTAGTTTTTTGATCCCAAGATAGCAATACAACTAAGAATTTAATTAGGCAATTAAAATAAAAAAGGGACTAAAATCCTCTTAACTGTTAAAAACAAAAAGCACAGATTGACCTATTATATTATTTTAAATCTAAAAGAAGGACAATTAACTGGTTTCAAATGAAAAAGCTTGACAGAATTCTGCCAAGCACAAGGGAATTGGTGCAAAGCAGCCCATATTATTTCAGAAACAGATTTAAGCTGCTTTTTCTTCCCTATCTTTATGTTATGAAACAATTTACTGATTATTTTTGATTCTTGAAATCATCAAGAAATATGGGGAGTTGGGATAAAGATACCTGGGATAAAGTTTTTAGAGCAGGTTAGTATAAAAATAGCCAATGATAGAGGTATAGATTTATTACTTTGTCCTGCAGTTGTGTTATATGATATCTAGTGAGAAAATAGCATCATGTATTTGTGCTATGTGTTCTTTTAGAAATTAATCACAATAGCTTAATATATTTGGATGTAAAGTAAAATCTACTAATTTCACCAAAGTACATAGCATTTCAAAATACAGTGATTATTAGAGAACATATTTGGATGCACACACATGCTCAGATGTCCTACTTTCCTAGCAGAGCAATAGCTGTGCACTTAGAAGCAATGTTACCTGCTGTAGCTTTTGCTGTATGAGTCATGAAAGGTGACTGTATTTTAGGCAAATTATTAAACAGAAATACTAAGTACAAGTTACTTATTTTGCCTGGAGAAGGCCTGGCATATTTTTGCACCAGTGTAACAGTATAGAATGACCAGGATATATAACAGGCCAGTTTAGAAAATAATCTAGGTCACTGCTCTTGAAGCAAAGAGTGATAAGGTAATAAATATAATTGATAAGTACTAAGGTTGTGTCATTGCTGTCTCTCCAGACTCATAAAACAAGCAAAGGAAATCAGGGACTCTTTCACATGCTGCACCCAATACACCACATACAAGACCCCCAAGCTTCCTCACTGAGCTAAGATTTTGGAAAACTCAGATTTTAAAAATACATTACAGTGTGTGAGAATCTTCTTGAATACAGATGTCTGTGGTGGGAGGATATGTTGGAAGCAGATTACCTAGACATAGTTCCACAGAGTGCACTGGGAATATTCTACAGACTCATGGCCTTTGGTGTTCCCATCACAACCTTTTTAAGTGAGAAAATAGAGAGATAGGGAAGGAAAAAATAGTAAGTACTCCCCTTTCAATTATTCTTACCCTGAAGTATTATTTAAGGGTTCTCTAGAGCTTGGTGAGCCATAAATTGGCAAGACCTGCATTTCTAAACACAAAGTGTGCAGTAAATGAAGACATCAAATTCATAAAGTGTGGACAGAAGAAGAAACAGGTGGGAAATTCTTTTTGTAATGTTCCATCCAGGAAGTTGTAGTTATTGAGGTAGTAAAGTGAGCTATACTGAGCAGTGCTACTTCATGAACCAAAGGTGGCATTTTTAAACAAGACTTCCAAGTAACGAATTGTTAGAAGAGTGGACTTTTTTCTTTTCTTGAAATTGACATCCAAGTTTACAATTATAAAATCAATGTACAATAATGTGAACTCACATTTAACCATGAAGATGATGATGTTCAAATGATGCATCACTTTTTGAATGTGCTAAAGCTAACTATACTTGGCTTCGTATTTCCCACAGTGAACTATTCCTTTACAGTGGTTGAACCCAGCTTTCCACATTATAACTAGACACAATGGAAACTTTTGTGTTTTTATACACATGGTAACAAGGACAACAACCAATGTTTAAACTCCTTTGCTCATTTTGACATTATGCCTCAGTCACTGTGACTCATAAGTTTTCTATAAATACAGTGTATATGTATCAAAATGGAAACATTTTTCCCAATAGTTTCTTATGCTTTGGGGAGAAATAGTTGGGACACTTGAAGAGTGTGGCAGAAATTCTGCCTCTGTGAAGTTTAAACCAGTCATTGCATAATGTCTAGAGTTAAATAATGGACAAACCCTTTTGAACCCAACTTAGTTGTACCCTCCTATCAATGTGGGTCAAGGATAGATAGATCTACATGTATATATGCCTGCTAGTGCTCAGTCTATACACTGATCCTTAAGCCTTGGTTTATGAGCCATGCATCAGATCCAGGTGTGAATTGACTTGGACATTGACTGACTAGACATTTTCTGAGGGAGATGACTCAGTTTCTTAATTTATTTCCTGAGATGTAATCCAAATTTTTTGCTATTCTATTTTGGAAGAATCACTAATCCTGATATTTCCCCCTGTGTATTTCTCTCGTTGCTATGAAAAAAATGCTTTTATTTGGTCAAAGATAGTGTAATTAGGGAAATCAAAAGGAGGAACTCCTAGGGTTTTGTGAACATGGAGGTCAAAAGGAAAAACAAGGAACACATTTACACAGAATCTACTCTATAGGGAATACTGACAGTGGTTTTTGCGCACTACTGCACTTCCTGTTTTCTGACAAAAC